TGTGTATAAGAGACAGAAATACATTAGCTCAGTGTTAGCGTATAAGTCTGCTGTTCTAGCGATCTCAGGTTCAAATCTCGATGTGTTTTCAAAAATTATAAACCTGCGTATAAATTGTAATTAATAAAATAAAAAATATGCGGAATAGTAAACACAAATTAAACTTTAAAAATAATATGTAATAATTGAGTAAAAAAAAATAAATTTTTTTTATTAATTTTTTCTCAGTGTTGAAATCCACATGGATTATTATATAAGAATCCACATAGATTTTCACATAGAACCTGGATTTTTGGCCCAAATTTCCGTAGGGAATGATATGGAATCCCATATGGATTATCCATATGGATTTCCCATATGGATTCCCACCTGGTATTTTTTAACAGGGTAGTCCTGTATGTTCTTGTGTTATTTATAAACTATTATTGGTAACCGTTGAAATTTAACCGCGCAGTCTCTTATCAGTACTCATTCGTATATTGTACATGACAGCGACTAGTGTGAATTTATTCTTCTTTGTTCATGTAAAAAAACCTTGTGGATTTTTTACTTCTGACTTATTGTTAGTAAGTTTTTAATATTACTTTATACGCACTATTTATTTTTTATTTTAATTACGCCCATTTGAATCCATAGTTGACGATATTAACTTGGTTATTTGACAAATTTTCACAATACTTCCAACGGAATTTCCATTCTGTTGAGACGTTTTATATCAACAAAGAGACTGCTCCAGAATAAGAAATTTCGATGACCACTGTGATCATTTTGACTCTAAATTGCTATTTCTTAACGCCGATTGCTTTATATACATTTTATATTTGACTCCTACTGCTTTACACTAATTTATTGTTATACATCGATTATGTGACTCATATGTTTCTGTTCGCTATTTATTTAATTTTTTGCGGCTGAAGAAGGTTAACAAGGGATCCTCACAAAGCGCACAATAGCTACAGCATAGAGAAAATTATCCAAGGATCTTGACTCTCTTTGGATCACTTTCCACCCAAAAACTAGATCAGAAATAAAATAAATATAAATAATAAATAATAAAATAAATAAAAAATAATAAAATAAATTTTATTTTTTCTAATTTTTCGATGCCTGTAGTAGGGAAAACTTG